CTAGGGTACTCAAGGTGGTTGCTAGGGTGTTTCTAGGTTACCTGGGGTAGTTGCTAAGGTATTGCTATGTGGTTGCTAGGGTACTTGGGGCGGGTGCTAGGCTGTTGCTCTACAGTTGCTTAGGTGCCCGGATTGGTTGCAAGGGTGCTGCTATGCGTTTGCTAAGGTATTTAGGGTGGTTGCTAAGAGGTTGCTATGCAGTTGCTAGGGTATTTTTGGTGATTGACAGGATGTTGCTATGTGGTTACTAGGGTAACTGGGGTAGTTGCTAAGGTACTCAGGGTGGTTGCTAGAGTGTTACTATGCGGTTCCTAGGGTAGCTGGGGTGTTGCTAGGCTACCTGGGGTGGTTACTAGGGTGTTACTATGCAGTTGAAAAGGTAACCAGGGCCGTTGCTAGGGTGTTGCTATGTGGTCGCTAAGGTACTCAGGGTGGTTGCTAGGGTCTTACTATGCGGTTGCTAGGGTAGCTGGGGTGTTGCTAGGTGGTTGCTAGGCTACCTGGGGTGGTTGCTAGGGTGTTGCTTCGCGGTTGCTAAGGTACTTTGAGCGGTTGCTAGGGTGTTACTATGTGGTTGCTATGGTACCCAGTCTGTTGCTAGGGTGTTGCTATGCGGTTGCACAGTACTCAAGGTGGTTGCTAGGGTGTTACTACGCGGTTGCTAGGGTACCTGGGTTGGTGGCTAGGGTGTTGCTATGTGGTTGCTATGGTACCCGGGGTGGTTGCTAAGGTGTTGCTATGCAGTTGCTAAGGTACCCAGGGCCGTTGCTAGGGTGTTGCTATGCGATTGTTAGGGCACCCAGAGTGGTTACTAGGGTGTTGCTATGCGGTTGCTATGGTACTCGGGGTGGTAGGGGTATCATTTTCTAGTATGATTAGCAAGTTACTAGCATGTTGTTAGCATGATTAACAAGTTACTAGCATGTTGTTAACATGATTAGCAAGTTACTAGCATGAATCTAGCACAGGGGTGGCGAACTCTGGTCCTGGAGAGCCGCAGCCCTGCAGAGTTCAGCTCCAACCCTAATTAAAACTCACCTGCCTGTAGCTTCCTAGTAACTGTTCAGACCTTGATTAGCTTGTTCAGGTGTGTTTGATTAGGGTTGAAGCAAAACTCTGCAGGGCTGCGGCTCTCCAGGACTGACGTTCGCCACCCCTGATCTAGCATGATTAACATGTTGCTAGTATGATAAGCATGTTACTAGCATGTTCATGCAACCACCCTGAGTACCCTAGCAACCACATAGCAACACTAATTTAACAATGACAGACAGACAGATAGATAGATAGATATTGCAATGTGCAAACTTTTTTATGATTAGATAAAGCAGACCCCTTACCAGACAATCATTCCACATGCAGGCCTGTGGAAAAAAACCCATCACATTTACCTCGTAGCAAAAAGAGACTGCGCTTTGCGAAATGCCAAGCAGTCGTGCTAGCCAATCATAAAAAGCGTTCTTAAAAGATTGACGTTTCTTTTGACCAATAATTGTCCGTGACACTTCTGGAGTTTCGGTTAGGCTGCAGTTTGGACCAATCAGAGCGCGTTTCTTTTATGGAGGGAGGTGCTTTCATTGGTCCGCGCTACAGCGGCGTTAGATTTAGTGCGTCACTGTTGTTGCGAAGGGGGAGTACGACAGGAACAGGTCGGTAGATACATTTCCTGATACAAAAATCCCTTTATCATTGTTTTTACGCAAGTAACCAGTATGTTCTTGTGTCAAACAGTTTCACAATCCTAAATTATTGAGGTACTTTTTCGTGCACACGGTCGCAATTTGCATTATGTTTTCTTGCGATAGCTAAGTTAGCTTCATCTCTGTTAGCTAAAGGAAACTAAC